TTTTTGGGACGCTCTCTGCGCGCGCAGTCTCGTTGTTTAATAGCCAAACCTCGTATACGACGCGTAGATACACGCAGACATTGTGTATTACAATATTATATTGTATACACATTTCATACGCGGAGCGGGGATTTGTAACGAAAACCTAGAAAACGCGCGTTTTTTCATCAAAATATGCAAAACCATACGTTTGCATTTATCAATGATGGGTGCGTTCATAAAGACCGGTATAAAACGAAATTATTTCGATACAGACAAGCGATTGTCTGTGTGAACGTTCGCCATAATCTAATGTAATTCACGCGAAACAATTTTGAATATTTACTCGTTTCTCGTTCACGTTTATTACTTATTACTTATACGTGTATTACACGCGACGATCGCACGTGTTTGTACATTTTTAAAAATAAACGATCGGCGAATCGGATCACAGCATTGATTCATATTGGCTGGAGTTTCATTCAACGTCACGACAACAACACGGCGCGTATTTCAGCGAAGAAATTTGAAAAACGCAAAATTATATCTCATCTTGCATTTTATTTATAGATACCTCGCGAATATCGTGTATATCTTTCTCCGTCAAACTATTCACTGTATACTATTTTTTTTTTATCGCGTATTACACCATACACCATATACCTACTGTATGCGTTATTTTCAGTTAAAATATGAAATTTATCTTTGACCGAAATACCGAGTTATGTATTATTATGTTTTGTTCGGTTTAATAACCGCCTATACACATTACACGATATACGCTCGACGCTCACGTACTAAAATATGTAAAAACATGCAAAATAAAAATTGTACCATTTTAATCGGAATAATACGAATCGTAGACATTATTCACTAAAACTCCATTTGGATGTTGCAGAAAAAAAAAAAAAAAAAAAGCGTGTTGCATAAAAATCATAGCTCTGGTTATCGTGTGTGTGTACGGATATAGATATAGATATCGATATAGAAGATAAAATCATCGCGATCCCGCGATACAATATAACGCCGGGGCTGTGAATTTAAGGCACTGAAAACCCATAGTAAATACATTTCAAATTCACAAAAAAAAAAAAAAAAACCATTATAAAACCTTCAAAAATGCATTTGATTATATTCCAAAACGAATAACCTACAGCATAACCCGAACATCATAACCGTGGTGTATAGAATCTGGAAATTCGCCGCAGAATTACACTCAAAATGTTAAGACAATAAAGTAGTACCTGTAAAACCTATATGGCAATAAAATATCACTGAATAATAATAATATACAGGATTCGTCGCGATAATAATCTCATCTCATCGAACGTCGCATTCCACTTATAGAAATAAATAAATCGTTTTTTTTTTTTTTAAATTTAATTTAGCCCTGCGTTCGCGCGTAGTTTATTAGCAATAAAGTATACGTAAACGCGGCATCGGAAAACAATAATATAATATGCAAGTATATTGGATTGTTGTTTTTATTAGTAATTTTGTTCCACTCGAGTGTATTAATCGATAATTTATTAATATCGTATTCGAAGCAATTCGTTTGACGGGTTATAACGGGTGAACAACTTTTTTTTTTTTTTTTCTATTGATATCAATTTGCTGTTGCAATATATCCCTTTACGTTAATTGCTCTGGATTTTAGTAAGTATACGGATATAGGTATACGTTGTCACTTTCTGGAAAATTATTATAAATTAAAAAAAAAAAAAACCTCGTTAATACACACATACATGCATTTTAAAGTTAACGGTAATTCAATTATAGTATTATACGAAAAAAAAAAAAAAAAAAAAAATGTCACTTATTATAAAATCATAGGCATGCGGATAAAATCATCAAAATTTACTAAAAAAAAAATTATTCATAAATTCCAAAAATAATTTACTGTACCAATACATACAAATTTGAATTGAAGTGTCCATCCGTCTGTGGTTGTCCGGGATAATATCGGTGTGCGATTCCGGTAGAACTTTCACTGTGAATACCTATTATGTGGGGCATAATTCAGGCTACTTTTTATGCCGAAATTTGATCCCTAAAGGATGACTAATCACGGTACAAAAATTTAATTTTTTTTTCGCCTTTACTTTTAACATAAATTACGAAAAAAACACAAAAAAAAACAATAGATATTGAAAGTTAATTTAGTTTTCATGGGCGAAGAAGCACACATTCAAAATAAACTACCGGGCAAAAACTGTTAACCGTGATAATATGGACGAGAATGGAAATGATAGGAAACACCGGGAGTCACGTTTTTAAAATGTTAATTTTTTCGGTTTTTATTCTATACTGCAGTGCACTGGCGGGACAGCTTGTTTAAAAGAGTTCAAAATACTGCTCACCGGTAGCGTTAAAAATGATGGACAATTTGGAAAAGTACATTGGAAATTCGGAAACGGGATTTTTGCACGGGCCCATAGACATTTTGAAGGAAAAAAATATCCAAAGAGAGCGATAATCGATAGTAAATAAATGAAACATAAATATGTAAAAGCACGGAAGTATAACGTTACGTAATCTGCGCATATTATATATTATTGTATATAATGTATTACAATCAAACGTTTATTTTAATTTAAAATTTTTATAAATACTGTGGATGATAACGTAATACTTAAATTGTATTTATTGTATGTGCATTGATTGCTGTTTATGTTGTAATTATATTAATGTTAAAAATCATAATTTGCGTATTCATGATAATTAAAGGTGAGTGACTTTTAATAAATATACAGAATGATTCAAAATGTATGTAACGGCCATTTTTTCATGCAAATATTCACAATAGAGAAAAATTTATGGTAAACAGGTCTTTCGATTTATAAACATCAAAAATAATTTGTACATTTTGAAATTGTTTTACCGCGTTTTCTGAGGGGGGGGATTTCAGGGGTCAACTTTTTAAATTTAAATGAAAACTTGTATTCAAAGTTCCATAAGAAGACGGTGTGATAGTTCAAATAAATTCCGATGTGGATATTTTTGATTTCCGTCGACCCGTGGACGAGATATTCGACTTTTTAGTTTAGGTTGTGGGAGAGTGGTGGAATACTGTGCGCTTACTGTGGCGTGGCACGGCGTCTGAATAGTGGTCCACTGTTCTCCCGCCCTACCTAAACTGAAAAGTGGAATGTAATGGATTAATCTCCTTATTAAATTTAAATTAATTAATGTTGCCTAAATTATTTTGATGATTAATAAAGTTATCCTCCTTCTATCTTTTATAAATCTTTAAAGTAATAGTTCAAAAATGCTAATACAATACACACATACACACACACACACACACTGATATATACGTATTTTACATATTTGTATAAGAAGAATGGTGTATCCGGTACTGGATGTCTAAAATAAATCCCACTTTGGTTTTTCATGGAGTTTAAATTAAGATGATTTGTTCAAGTGCAGAGAGCGGTTTTGATACGCAATAAAGTATTTTACATTATCATCCTCGTCTAAAAATATGGACAAATTTTGCCTGTGTAGACCAATAAGTTAATTAATTAATTAAGTGTTTTAAATTTAAAAAAATCAAAACAACGAATGCTACGGCAAAAAATGTTTCAAATAAAATACCGTATTTTAAGATGCGACATGAAAAACTCAGCCTTTTTTTTTTACTCACCGAAACCCACATTTCACCACATATCGATAAATAGTAAATTAATCAGATTTTAAAATCGAATTTTCTGACAAACCGTCAATTCACAGTAAGTTGCGGTAGATCTTTTTCGTGCTGGATTTGCGTCATGGCAGTAAGTTTCTATATGGTTATAGTAATTTCATTTATACGTAATTTTTGTGATGTATATTATGTTTGCTGTATAGTTTATTGTTAAAATCGAAATATTTGCACGGGCCCACAAATATCCTATAAAAAATAAAAATAAATTTTTCATATTTTTATTCGACCGTTATCTCGAGGATCGCACGCACAGGACGCGTGTGAACATTGCTATAGTGAAAAAATAAAAAAAATACTGCCAAACTAAATAAACGTAATTTACGACTGTCTCTGACCTTTGTTTCTATATAATATTATACGGGTGTATACATTCGACCACCGTCTAGCGTAACGTTTATGTATTCTATTTTTATTTGTTTTAATATTTCGAATACTTAATGCTATCGTCTCGTTTTCGGTGTATAGCGAATGTTTTATTAATGTACTCTACCGTCGTCTGGTTGTCTCGGAGAAGTATTTGGAATAGCACTGTGAGAAAAATTATAAAAAAGTTTAATTACGCCGTCAGAAACGTGGTGTATCTTAGTACCCCCTTCTATATCCTTTATTCCCTATTCCGGGGAAAATTTTAAAAATCCGACCGGTTCAAAAAGGGAACAGCTTTGTTCAAAATGTCAACTTTCTAGGTCCAAGGGTTCTGGTTTGGCGTTGGTGAGTCAGTCAGTACCTTTAATTTTATGTGCGCCGATAGACTTTATATTCAGTGTGGGTGTGTTGGTGTGGATATTATTTTATCGACAAATCCACATATTGTTCATAATAATAATATCACTTGATAATAAGGTAAGACCAATACGACTTTCATAGTTTTATCATTAACCGTCGAAGATCGGGTTTTATTCCTAATATATATTTATTAACGATGAGATGTATACTTATGATAAAACATGTAGTATTTAAAAAAAAAAGTGTGTAACATAATTTCAGTGAGAGAGATGCACCCCCAAAGATCACCTGTATATGGCTGGATGAGAGGAGGTGGCCATTGAAAATGTCTATCCTGGACTCGAATTTCGAAGTTTTGCTATTCATAAAAAGATGTATGGGATCGTTAAATTGTCACGCTAAAATACTGGAATGTATTGAATACAAACGTATAATTTTATGAAACTGTTGCGGTATCCATGGCAAAGATTACAAATAATCGTAGGTAACAATTTATTAGTAAAAAGTTTACAAGCAAAAGTCGTATACATATCTTTTTACCTTATCACTGATCGTATCGACAAATAGGTATATATAAAAAAAACAAATTATGGCTGACTGGTATACACCGAGCCAAACGCAAAAAGCATTAGAAATCACTTGGCGGAGATTTGAATATGATCCTACACCATTGAAGGTACCAATAGTAAAATAATAATTAGCGCAGTGAATAGTTTATAGCGACAAATTAATTTTTTTTTTTTTGTTTATTTTAATTTGCATAGTTTACTTTGTAAATATCAGTAACGTATCCAGAAGAAAGATGTTTACAGCCCCTCTCTACATTGGCCGTGTTAAAATGCAAACATACAATTAACTGGACTAAATACAAACAATTGTACTAAATATATGCATTTGGCAAAATAACCACAACCCTCCAAAACTTAGACATTGCTTTGATAATAATTTGCTTGAATTAAATTGAATATAATTTAAATTTTTTCTATGATAAGCCGATCCTCCTAAACCGTTACAAAATCCTGAGTACGTTACTGATATGTAGAGAAGGTCCATTTAATTTTCGATTTCAAAAAAAAATTGTTCATCCCTTTTTATCATGTTTTATAATATTTTTTTTTTTTTTAAATGATAATTGGGAATATTATGTTATATGGGATTTTAAAATGGTTTCAACAACGTTTTAATACGTTACTTAGACCAACAGTCCCAATGTGACAAAGCTTGTTTTTAAGTTTTTATTAGGCGTATTATTTCTCCACAATTGTTGTATATAGGAAATAAAAGACGAAGATCTAATAAACTACTACAATAACAAACAACACGTCTTGCCGAAAATGCAATATGATTTGAATCATCCGACCAGCGCGTACGATCCGAATGTGAAAAAAGATAGCGCGAAAAGCAAAAAACAAATACACGAAAACTTTTACTACGAAGTGCGTAACGAAACGATACAAAACCTCTTGAACCGGAAACAAGTTTAAACGGTTTTTATAATAATTTCTGTTTTGGTTTTTATTTTCGAACCTTATAGGAAAGGCAACGGTCCGTGCCCATATTGACTTCACACGAGTACGGCCACCGGTTCGTAGATTTGGAAGGTAGATCGTTGGGTCACTTCAACAGAGTGGAAGACAAATCCGGATACCGACCATCGGGTATACCGTTCGACCAGACGGTCGGGCTACCAAGGAGTACAAATATTCTCGACGAATGAGCCGGCTTTTCGACCCTAATATTTATATACTGTGCATAATGCAATGTTCTTTTAATGTTTTAAAACTGCCCGTGTCCTCGTATAATTTCTTACGGCGAACAAAAATATTTAGGTACAATAATTAATCATTCACATGTCTTAACAAATAGTTTAATCCGCAGTTTTGATTTTAGATTCTGCGCGCAGTGAGAAATGTTTTGATTTACCGTGTTTGTTTTTTGGGTGTTGGGGGGTGGGGTTGGGAGGAGGAGTTCTGTTAACAAATTTTCTACCGACAATTTTGCTCCGATCGGGTTCTTCATAAAAGTTTAAGGTATTTTCCATCATCATACACACTTATTTGATCTTACAAAGTGTCAAACACTACAGCATAACAAATTAGATATGTGTGATGACAAGTTGATCCCGCGCGTTTCTTGCCCAGAGAGTTTAGTTCACAATCTCTCATTGTTATCGTTTCTTGAAAACATTGGGTGTTTTCAGTCGCGTAGGTCAGAGTTATTCTTTGGAGGCGGCGGCGGCTTATTATTTTTGCACACAGAGGTGATTTAATTAGGATCTTCCTTAAGTTTAGAATACTGATGTCGAGGTTTTATTTTATTTTTTAGTTCCTGTACGGCTAAAAACAATTTGTATTTACGTATTTAATTATACCAGTATATTAGTAACTCGTGATAGATTACGAAATACAAATAATATTAGAATGTTATTTATTCAGCGAATGCATAAGCAGACTATTACATTCAGTACTTGTATAAAAATCAAACTTTTAAGATTTTTACTGATACAACTACAGTACACCAGCCGCCAGCGTACAGCCATAATTAAATAGATAAAGAATAATACATTATTTGCGATAATGTACAAGCTAAGTATGATAAATTAAATAATTAAAAATGGTTATGAGATACTTGAACTTTATTTAATTTATAAGCGAAAAAGTTTAGACTAGTCTTTACAAGGCAGAAAAGGTTATAGCTTATAAGGTTTCTTTATACTTAATATAAGTTTAAGTAGCGCGACGGTGTTTATTCTATAGGGCAAATCATATAAACGATAAGATAACTTAACAAATTAAAGATACAAATTTAAAATCAGTAAAATACGAGTACAATCTAAGACTTTTGTAGCGACTTTTATAAGCCATTGAAATAATTTTACGGAGTTTTCATTATATTTTAAGGGTGGCTGCAGAATCCCTTGGCCCTCATAGTTACGCCACTGGGTGTGTACGCAATTATTAATCACAATATATGCAATAACCGTGATAATAAAATAAAATAATGATTACAGTTTTATTTTTTAATATTAATATTATTTAACCACACAATTTTATTGTTGTTAATGATAGAATTTTATTTATTTTTTTTAATTTTTGCATGGTTTTTTTAAACTAATTAAGTCAAATTTAAATTGTTTAGTTATTTCAGAGTTCTTGATCTTATTAAACATTTAATATTTTATATAGTATTTTTTAAAATTAAACTTTAGGTCTTAAAATTCAAAGTTTTTATAAACGAAATTATATTTTTTTTTAATCTGGACAAATGTTCCTAATTATTTATTTTTATCTACATTGTTAAATAGTTATATATTTTTTATCTTCATCTAGATAATTATTCAACTAATTATCTTTTATCTTTAGCTAATAGATATTTTTTAGATGTATTTTTAAAATACTGTTGGTAAAGCGTGAATGACATGATAGCCTTCCAAAAAGTTTAAAAAAAATCACGACAAATTGTAAATTATACGAGATATAAAAAAAATACATAAGTTTCAAATTTTCGATTTAAATTTACTTAAAAAATGTTTATTATACTATATAACCACTCGGAATCGTGTTTTTTGTTTTCAACGATTTATCGTTTTAATTATTAATTATCATTCCAAACTTATCAGCTTGATGCTTTTTACCAATCTAGTGTTTTTTTTTTTTTTTTTTTTTTTTTTTTTTTTTTTTTTTTTTGTAATTAACCACTCGTTTTACATCAACCGGACATTTTGATAATAGAAATGTCCGAACAAAAACAAACATGCCGCCGCCGCCGCCACCGTCGTTTCAAATTTTCGATTATTTGAACAAAAATAAAATGAAATAAAATACTTTTGCGATTCAGCGGTTTCTAAAACACACTGGGGTCGGTGAAGCAAAATCGATCCGAAATAATATGTTAGGAATTCGAGTTTCATTTCGTCGTCGCTCCATCGCATTTCGCCGCCCGTTTATAAATGTAGTACCGTTTGTCCGCTAAAATATTTATTGTACACCGTACGTATTCTCACCCAATTTAATTTCGACTTCATAAAATAGTTACAAAATACATGGTATATTATTATTATTATTATTATTATTATTATGCGCACACATTTATAATAATTTATTATATATTTTGTATCGGTCTTGTGCAAACTTTCGTTTAGCGAATGTATTATTATTAAATAATAATAATGACGAGGAAATTGAATAATTGAACAATAACGTGCTCCTGCTTGCAGTGTATAATATACTCGACAAAAGTTTAATGTTTTAGGAAAAAAAAACAAATTATTATTTCCGAACAACGCTGGTGAGATTCGTATGGACAAAAATTAAAAAAAAAAAAAAACACCGGAGTGTGCAGTATTTATTTCAAGGGTACCCGGTTGTGAGGTAATTCCCCTCCCCCCCATATAAAATAGATAACAACGTAAAATGAATGAGATTTTATATTATGAAAAATTAGCTATCGGCCGTTAGAGTTGACGATAAAGCAGAATAATTATTGTTCTACAAATAAACTGTTTGGTAATGTCTTATGCCAATAATCAATAATAATATGTAGTAGAGATTTTTCGGGTAGAAAATTATTTACAAACTGGATACCGAGTATCAACCAACAAAACCGAATAGGTATCATTAGAAAAAAAAAAATGGTTGAATATAAAAACAAAAACTTAATAGATTATAGTCGTTATAGGGCATAGGATCTAAAAAGTTACCAAATATGCCATTCATATGCAAAACAAAATAACCGAATGTATGCATTAATAATCTGCAATTGTAAATAAACATCTTTTTTTTTTTTTGTTTCAAATTGATTTACTAAATTTATTTTACTTAAGTAGTTAATAGTTATTACTTGCAAATACTTTTTTCGATAGATTCCGAGTGAAGCGAAGCAATGAAACTTATGGTTTTACAATAATGTTTATAATTTAATTTTTTTTTTTTTACTATGAACAACGTTTTTACCAGGAATTTTGTTCCGATTTTCAAGAGCAGTACTTTTTATGAAATTACATTTTATCTGGATGGTACTTAAGTGAGCTCGTTTTCCCAGGGGGTTTTCATTATAAATAAGAAAAACTGGGATAAAACGTAAGATAAACGGGAACGTGTACAAATTGTAATATTTTCAAATCGTAAATATTACAAAACACGTATAACCGAACTCCGTTCAGAATCGTTTTTCATTAGCAACGATTAATCGTTCCGTATAGCTTTACATTAAATTTCCCTTCTGCCCTCGCGATTTCTCACCTAAAACAATGGCCCATTCTTTGTGTATTCGTGCGACGTACGTGTCCGTTTGCTTTTTTATGTACACCTATTACAAACTATAGTTTCACAAGGATAATTATTTAGTTTGGTTTAGATATTAGAACCTACATAACATAACTTACGAAACATAAGTGATTTTAACCATAAACATTACTAAATTTTTAAATTTAAAATTGTCGATTTGTAGTTATATCTTTCAGATGATTGAACATCATTATTACGTTCTACCGTTGCTGTTTATGCATCACGGTGTTTTTCTGGTTGGTATTTTTGCAACGTAAATAAAGTATTCGATTAGTGTAGATTCAATACTCGTCTATATTTTACACGTGAAATAACGAACAACAATACAGTTATTATGTTAAGAGCTGGCCATGTTCTCACATTGGAATTGTTTCAATATCATAATATATGTATGCGAAATTGTTTTTGATTTTGTTTTTTTTTTTCATCGAACACATTTTATTATTACTATACATTATAAATATTGGATATCAGTATCTCACCTAATAATTGTCGAATACACAATATTCGTATTGTCAGGCTCGCGGTTTTTGGGCCGTTAAACCTTTTTTTGATTGGTTTTTTTTTGTGATGTAGCCCACGCTCTTATTATACCAGCAGGTACAAATTTTGTATTTAACGTAATAGTAACAATAAAACAAAAACATCATCGTGAATCTAGATATATTTTTTAAATGAAGTACCACCGGTCGAAAATTCCGTATCTTTTGAGGTACCCAAAGCGTGAAAAAAATCTGAGTGTTTTTACAAATCAAAAAAATGTTTTCCAGAAAAGTAATAACTTATAACATTCCTACACTTTGAATATGAATTCCAATACATACGATTTTTTTTTGTTTTAACTAATTTTGATCACTTTACTTCACTTTACTTTCAAAAATATTATAATATTTAATTAATCTTTATGAAACCTTTATCTTTATGAAATTTATCACTCGTTGAATAACTGGGAAAAATGTTTTTCACCCTATCATTTTATCATGGACCATGGTTTTTTTTTTTTTTTTGAGGATGTTCAGAGAATTTGATTGAATAAACTTCATGTATATTCTTTGATGACCCTTCTATTTTATACCTTTGGTCTGAACTTAAAACCATTTTCTACTCGAATCAGTGTTTAAAAGTGAGGAGAGGTTCCTATTGTGAAATATATTAGAATAATACATGTAGGTATACATATATTATATATTAGGAATAGAAAATTGAAAATAGTATTATAATAAATCTAAAACGATTTCATAGTAAGTATTAACTTAGAATCCTCCGAGAATATCACTACAGGTTCGAGATGAATGGATTGCCTTGTAGTTTGTAACAAACTATACAGAATATTTGATTTTTGTCGGTTCGACGTTAAATTTAATATTATGATGATTTTGTGAAATATTTCGTTTATAGCAGCTCCCAAACTATATAACGAATCCGAACCCTG